ATGGCAGCAGATCGAACGGTTTTTCGGGAGATTTTTTTGTGTTTTGGTTGTAGTGCTCGGTTAACATAGTTGTTGAAGGCATCATTTTTTGACGAAAAGAAAAGGTTGTTCCGCATGTACAATCATTCTCCCAAGTTCATCCCTATCTCTCTCGTAATTGTAAATGAAGCCTTGTGGATGGAATTGAGAAATTTTGGGTTGGGTTGGATCACTAGATGGTCCACCACATTTTTTTGTATGTCTATTAAGGTGTCCCGTCCCTCCCTTGGTATCGGCCGAGAAAATTTTACCACAAGTCCGACACTTGGCCTTTTGTCCATTTTTACTTAATTGATAATGTGACCAAACTTCACTCTTTCTTTTAGTTTGAGCAAAATCCTCTTCGGTACACCACTCTAATATGTTAGGATTTTGGGTGTTGGGCATTTGGGTGGATGGTTCACTCGACCCGCAGGCTTGTGTTTGGCTACCTTGGGAAGGAAGAGGAAAAGGAAATTCATGTTGTTGAAATTGACTTTGTTGAAATTGGGTCCAAGGAGCCATATCATCCATTTGTTCTTGCCCTCCCGTGTTTTGGGGATGAAAGAAAGGGGTGGAAGTGTTTGGAAAGGGCATGTTAGGGGAGGGAAAGGGCATGTTAGGGGGGCATAGGCATTGAAGTGTTTGGATTTGGTGATTCCCTACGTTTTGACTTGGCTTTTCTAGAGGAGGAGGAAGCGCTCGGGTTTGATGCCATGATTAATTAATAATAATAACAATAAAAGTAACAATAACAATAATAATAATAATAATACAAATAACAATAACAATAATAATAACAATAAAAGTAACAATAACAATAATAATAATAATACAAATAACAATAACAATAATAATAACAATAAAAGTAACAATAACAATAATAATAATAATAATACAAATAACAATAACAAAGTAACAATAACAATAATAATAACAATTCACAACAATAATAATAACAATTCACAACAATAATAATAACAATAACAATAAGAATTAGTAAGTAGTTTTTATATAAATTAAATTTTTAAAAATAATTATAATAATAGTAGATTACTTGGATCAATGAGATCCCAGGTAGGAGAGGTTAGGAGCGACGTTGTCCAGAGCCCAAGTCTCGCCTTAGACAGATTTCAACAATCCAAATAACCCACAATTAAAATAGAAAGTAGTTTTTAACTTTTTATATAATTAAGTAGTTCCAACTTCCAAGAATACAATAATAATAATAATAATAATAATAATAATAATAATAATAATAATAATAATAATAATAATAACAATAACAATAATAATAATAATAACAACAATAATAATAATAATAATAATAATAATAATAATAATAATAACAATAACAATAATAATAATAATAATAATAATAATAACAACAACAAGATTAACAACTAACAATAACAAATTAAAATAAAGTTGAGTTAGATCTTACAATGACGCTTCAATGCTTTCCCAAATTTATAATTTTCCGAACTTATAATTTCCCGAATGTAAATATAACAATTTTTTTTTTGGTAGTAGACTAATAAAGGTAATAATAGTAAAAATGTAAAATTTATAAGAGAGTAGGAATTTTTTTTTTTTCACAAAAGAGAGCAAGATTGTAGGATTTGTAGGAATTTGAGAATTGAGAATTTGGGAGTAAGAAAATTAGAGAATAAGAGAGAAAAGATGAGTTGATGAATTGTGAAAATTTTGGAGGAAAATATGAGGTATTTATAGGGAATTTGGGTGGGAAAAGGGGTGGAAAACTAGCTGTTTATAGCTGTTGGAAAACGGCCATAAACGGCTAGTTTTCCAACAGTATGGCACGGGCCGTGCCGGGCCGTGCCTTGCGGGCTCGTGCCGTGCCGTGCCGTGCCCGGCCGTGCCACGTGTCGTGCCGCCGGGTCGTGCCAGCGTGTCGGCTCACGTGCCGGCCACCGTGCCGCCCGGCGTGCCACGTGTCGTTCCCGTGCCAAATCCCACAATTTTGTTCACGGCACGGCACGCCGGCCCACCTGTGGGCCGCCGTGCCGTGCTGGGCCGTGCCGGAGTCGTGCCGGGTCCGTGCCGCCCGCGTGCCGGCACGGCCCGTGCCCATGTTTAAATAAAATCAAACAAACATGGAAATTCGAACGGAAAACGAAATTCAACCACAAAATTTGAAAATAAACAAAATTTTCGAAAAATAAACATACCTTTCATAATCTATCTTCCTCTTTAGGTTAATATGGTCAAATTCGACCAAGAAAACTCCAGATCTGGAATTTTTAAGGTCGAATTTGACCATAAACACCAAACTATCATGTTGCTTTTCACGGTTGGCTTTGCTTGTACTGTGACGGTGGCTGCTCTATTTCATTCGGGTTGGTGAAGAGAAGAGATGCGAGAGAAGGAGAAAAAGATGAGGAGAAGAGGATTCAAGAGATGAGGGTCGTTCACAAGGAGGTGGAAAGAGGAAAGAGAAGAGAGCGAAAGAAGAAGGGTGTGAGAAAAAGAGAGAGGAGAAGAGGATGCGTGAGGAGAGAGAGAGGATAGAGGATGCATGTGACGACTGTAGTTCTAATACTAGGGTTTGGGTGATCTCCTTAAATACCCTTTTTTAAAAAAAATTAATAAAACACTTTTGCGACCAGTATGGCGGTCGTAATTTTGCGACCGTTTATCAAACGGTCGTAATTTACGCATTTTGCGACCGGTATGCCGGTCGTAATTTTGCGACCGTTTCTCAAACGGTCGTAATTCACACATATTGCGACCGCTACTAACGGTCGTAACAGAATTAATTTAATTTTGAATAAATTTTCACATGAATTTTATTTTACATATATATTTAATTACCTTTACGACCGTTTTATAGCCCATAAACGGTCGTAATTTTGCGACCGCTTAAAAAACGGTCGCAAATATCAATTTGTGCAACCGTTTTCATGACGGTCGTAGAAAAACGGTCGCAATTCGACCGAATTTTAGTAGTGTATTATTATTATTATTATTATTATTATTATTATTATCATCATCACCACCACCACCACCACCACCACCACCACCACCACCACCACCACCACCACCACCACCACCACCACCACCACCACCACCACCACCACCACCACCACCACCACTGCTACTATTATTACTACTACTACTACTAGTCTACTACTACTACTACTATTATTATTACTACTACTACTAGTCTACTACTATTATTATTATTATTAAATATTTATTATTATTATTATTATTATTATTATTATTATTATTATTATTACTACTACTACTAATATTATCGCATTATTATTATAATCATTAAATTTTTAAAGTTAAATATTAATTATTATTATATTAATTATAATTATTATTAAATATTATTTAATTATTATTATTAAAAATTAATAATTAGTATTATCTTTAAATATTAGTCATTATCGTAATATTAATTGTTATTATAAAAATCAATTATTGTTATTATAATTAATATTATTAGTTACAAATATTATTATTACTGTTAGTATAATTACTATTATTATTACTATCTATACTATATACTAAAGTAATCACCAGAGTTATCCCTTAAGTACACATGTCACATTCACAACAAAAATTTTCCCGCCCAAATATTTTTTAGCTTTTTTTTTTAAATTTCTTTTTTTCCCTTAAAAAATAACATGATAAAAAAAATTTAATGAAAAAAAACTTACAATAATTTATAAAATATTTTAAATAATGTATCTAACATGAGAATTTTAAGGATAGATATGATATGAATTCAAATTCAAAAATAAAAAATGTTGCATATAAGCCATTTCATTTAAACTAACTCCATTTTAATTGAATTTTATTAATTTTTTTTTTTTTTAATTTTCAAGTCTTATTATTATAAATCCGTGCATTTGCACGGGGATAAAACTAGTTATTATTATTATTATTAAATATTAATTATTATTGTTATTATTATTATTTTTTTTTATTAATAATTTATTATTATTATTAAATATTAATAATTATTTTTTATTTTTTTATTTTTTTTATTAAATATCAATAATTAATTATTTTTATTATTATTATTATTATTATTATTATTATTATTATTAAGTATTAATTATTATTATAATTAAATATTAATTATTTATTATTATTAAATATTAATTATTATTATAATAATTTAATATTAAGTATTAATTTTAAGTAGAGTAGAGCAGAGCAGGGCAGGGCAGAGCAGAGCAGATTGAAGCAGAGCAGAGCAGAGCAGATTGAAACAGAGCAGAGCAGAGCAGAGCGGATAAGTATTAATTTTAAGTAGAGTAGAGCAGAGCAGGGCAGGGCAGAGCAGAGCAGATTGAAGCAGAGCAGATCAGATTGAAACAGAGCAGAGCAGAGCAGAGCGGATTTCAGCAAAGCAGAGCAGAGCAAAGCAGCTCTAAAGAACGGGGCCTAAATGCTATTACTTTTTATTTATCTTAAGAACATATGTAATATTAACAAATAACATCTTGTAAAAAAATATTGATAAATAATATATACCCACCATAATTTACAACAAAATTTAAAGAACATTTCGCAATAAGCAACGAACTTTTTTTTTTCAAATAAAAATGTATTACACTGACAATAAAAGAACATGTAAATATGTTCTTTTCACTCTTTTTTGGTAAAAATATGTTCCTTTTACTTTAAGTATGTGTTCATTACAATTTACTTGTAATAATATGTTCTTTTACTATAGATGTATGTTCTTTACATTTGTATAATATGTTCTTTTCGCGAAAAATGTATGTACAATGCATAGTGCAGACGCCTCTAGGAACCACGCACTAAACATATACACGTATATGCTTGGTACTCTGTCACATTATTTACTTGTATGTATATCTACGTTTTTTTTAAGGGAAACTTGTACGTATATCTACTTATACGTAATTGTATATCGTAATACTTAAACCTTGAGTTGTTATCAATCAGTCTTGTCACTCCAAATTAACACTCATCACCTACGTAGCTTCATCGGTTATCAACAAAATCCTTGACATAAATGTCATGAATTCTTTGAAGTTCCTAGTGACGGTCAAATATCTTCTCATACTGAACCAAAAGTCCAACACATCATTTTGATTATAGCCCAACTCATCAATGACGAGGTTAACATGTAATGGAGTGAACTCATCAAGATTTTCATACATCTCAAGATCCCCTCTATGAAGGTATGCCACAATATCTAGTACGGTTTCATCCTCACTATCTCCACGAAAAACAGGAATAAAATCTCCTATCTCATAGCTAGCATCAAGAATATGACCGGAAATAGGACCTCGAAAAGGACCATGGGCTTTTGGCCGTTCGGATGAATAATGTAAAAGTCAAAGCGGGTCAAGTAAAAAAGAACGGAGGAAGTATGTCAATATACATATACTTGTATGCTATTTTAAATTCTGCATATGAGTCGTAGATTTCTAGCTGAAACTTATATCAATATTTGGCTATATGCCTATATGCATATGCTAGTTTGCAACTCGTGTATTAATGGTGAATTACGAATTATAGCTAATAGAGAATATCCACTCCTCCTAGGTTTAAGATATATATGTATAAGATTATCTTTATGATATCTTTACCTATGTTATAGTTACTTAATATGATTAGGTTTCTCATTATAACCCTATAAATATTGATCAATAGGAATCACTCCAATGAGGAGTTTCACATTATCTAACATGGTATCACAGCCTTAGATTACGAACTAGCTTCCGCAAACAAATTATTTTTTTCTTCTTTGCTCACCTTTAATATTCCACGGCAACAATTGCTTTAATGCACCTGTCAATTTGTTTTCTAACATGAGCTTAGGTGAAATCTTGGGATCATCATATACAAAAATTCTCACCCTGCCGGTGGGTTAGAAAATTAAACCCACCGTACCGGCGGGATATACACAATTTTTTTATGCTTCCGCAAACACATACATATAGATTTTTTTTTTTCTTTTCTTAAAGTTTATTTTAGAATCTTTGTAACCCTGCGCCTCCCACCAACAGTAGCAACCGCAAAAGCCGCCTCCATCATTGGTGGCATTCGCATACACTACCGCCTCCCACTACTGGCAGTAACCACATCTGCCAATCTACTCCATGTGCCGCACTCTATTTCCACCTCCCCATGACCAACAATGATTCTTACATTGCCCCATTGGTTTTTCTACACATAATCACATAGATTTTGTTTTGGTGGTGGTATATTAGAATAAGGTCAACTTTTGCACGTCTTTTTTGCTATCAAGTTGGCTCCTCTTATTGTTGTAGCACTTGGAATCTTTGTGGAGTATTAATTCTTGCTACCTGGTTTCTCTTTTGAGAATTGACTAATTTCAAACGGTGGAATGTAATCTTTTCTTGCGCAATTTTATTTGTTTTTCTTCAACTGTGATTTCACGTAGTAGTGTAGTGTCTTCTTCCCAATGATAGTTTGATCCCTTAGCTTATTCTTCTCTGGATCTGCAACTTGGTCCAAGTATAAGCGTGACTCTTCTCCTTCTCCTCCGGCCTAAAAGCGCATATATCTACTATACGTAGGTTGTGGTTGTTGCTTCTCATCGTCATCACCAGCACATGTCTACTACTTCTCTTTTGATCACGAGTTATTATATTATCCTTACCGTTTGATACATAATTCAGATCCATTCTGAGCATCCGATTTTCTCCCCCTCCGACTGCAAGGGTGTGATAGAGAATATTCATATAATATTCTCCTCCTAGGTTTATGATATATTTGTATAAGATAATCTTTACGATATCTTTACCTATCTTATAATTACTTAATATGATTAGGTTTCTCATTGTAACCCTATAAATATTGATCAATAGGAATCACTCCAATGAGGAGATTTCCCGAAATCTAACAATAGCAACAAGCTACACAGTTTCTCGTATTCTTTGAGAATAGTGAAAAAAACTTCATTAGTATTTATGTGAATGTGGAAAACATTATTGCAACTGAGTAAAGGATACCATTTACACAAGGCAATCATAATATATGGAGTAGCTTGAGGCCACAGCAGTTCCAGGTGCAGCTTAGGTCCATTAAGAAGTTGGAAATTTTAACACTGGAAGAGAGAAAGATTAGCTTTAATTTCTTTGAAGTTCTATATTAACTTGTTTAAAGTACATACTTGTCTTCTAAATTCCTAAGCAGCAACTACAGTACACCAAGCAATAAACTCAAAGTTCCCACAGATAAGAAAATGATAGATCGTGACAAAGTTAAGACATAGGTTTTCCAAGAGCAACACTAAATTCAGAGACATATTTATTGACTCTAAGTCATGCAATGGTAGCCATCAGATCAATAAGATCACTGTTAAGCACACTGGACCCTATGGCCACCGGTAGGTTTGTCATCTTCATCGTATGCCTCCTGCTGTGCCTGTGTCTGCTTAAGAGAAAGGATCGCTTCCAATGCTGTAACTTGATCAGGGTTCAAAGATTCGCTTCCAATCCTGTAACTTGATCAGGGTTCAAAGAATCGTGAAATGGATGTACAACTTGCCCTGAATGGCCTCCAGTAAATTGGCATGCCCTCATCATTAATTGCCTTGCATTGATCTGCTCACAGATACCAACAATTAAAGATGACAGTAGTGATTTGGGATGATCAGAATTTGAGACTAATTGTAATTATACTATAATTCATTTTTCAATATCTTCCTTGATAAAAGGTCTAATTAACTTACATGTCCAAAATGGTACTAACCAGGCTTGATAACTTCTCCTGGGTTTGATTTGATAAAAAGTTGCCTTCCAATTACAAAGCACTTGCTAACACAATTACAAAACACTTGCTAACTAATTTGCTAAACAGCAATCAGAGTTTCTTGCCTTAACAGAAATTATCTGTACAACAATGTTAACCAAAGAAAAAAAGGGGGTCTAACTTAAAGGATGAACAGTTAAAACAGCTAAGGACTCAAGGAGAAGTTATTTTCCAATTCATTGAATTCCTTCGAGATCTTAGCCCTGCAAGATGGACACATGAAACCAACTGAGGGCCTGTTCTAATAGACTGAAGTGAACTGAGCTGAACCGAAATGAAATGAATATTTTATAAGAGAAGGAAATTAGGAGCGGAGCTGAACTGAACGAACTGAGCTGAACTGAAAATAAACGTATGAGAACAGGTCCTGAGTCTGGTTGTGGACTTGTGGTTCAATGTCAGCGATCTCATGAGAGAACTCTACCCCGCACCAGACACAAACAGTTGTAGTCAGACAACTGCGAGCCAATTCTTGAGGAAATTCTGATTGAGATTTTAGAGGGTCATCAAGTCCTAGTCCTAAACCTATATTATTTCCCAGATCCATGGATACATCATAGCAAGTAAAATTGCATTTGCAGCTTGATTCAAGATGGACCAAATAGCAGGGCATGAACTAGAACATCAACTTATACTCTTATAAAGGAGTCATGAGGTGATTGTTTCCAATAGGTCAACCTCCGAAACAATTCCTAACACAATTACAAAGCACTTGCTAATTTATTTGCTAAACAGCAATCAAGAGTTTCTTGCCTATAACAGAAACTAGCTGTACAACAATTTTTACCAAAGAAAAAAAAAAGGGGTCTAGACTAAGGGACGATCAGTCAGCTGAGGGCTCAAAGAGAAGTTATTTTCCAAATCATTGAATTGCTTCGAGATCTTAGCCCTGCAAGATGGACACATGAAACCAACCGAGTCCGGCTGTGGCTCAATGTCAGTGACCTCATGAGAGAACTCTACCCCGCACCAGACACAAACAGTTGTAGTCAGACAACTGCGAGCCAATTCTTGAGGAAATTCTGATTGAGATTTTAGAGGGTCATCAAGTCCTAGTCCTAAACCTATACCTATATTATTTCCCAGATCCATAGATACATCATAGAAGGAAATGGAATCTTCTCGGCTCATATCATTGTACTTGTACATCTGAGGTTCTATGACATCCAACTTCAAGTACTCAAGCCCATGCACACTTTCAAGATTCTGATCAAGACTGCATATATCTTGTCCAGCCTGCAGGTAAGATCAGAAACCCACAATTAGTCTCTTTTACTAAACAAAAAGCAATGCAAGCATTTATCACGACGACATATCCACAGGAAGAGAAGAGCTCATCACAGCAAGTAAAATTGCATAACGGAAAAAGTAATGCATGTCAAAGACCAAAATAATTACATTTAGACCTTAAATAACCCAGACTCCAGAGTCTCAGACCAATGACTGGTTGAAACCCATTTCATGATTGATCCAAAATCCATCAAACGCAAATACGAAGCAGCTGGACATTAGGTATGCCACACAAAAAGGAAGTCTAGATAGACAATACACCCAGCAATGCAAGTCTAACATTTTCCAAGGCTAGGAAGATTGAGAGATCAGAATTAGCTGGAGATCACAGACATCAATAATCAGAATTATTACCTTTTCAAATATCTCGTCAAATGTTGATGAAGAATTCGCTGGTACTTGAGGCACTGTACAGTTCGACTCATGATTTTTACCAGAAATAGTAACAAGATCACTGTCATAATTTTGTGCATGTTTGGGCTCGGTCATATGTACACCCAGCTGAGTCTTTTTGCCAGAAGAATCATAATCAGAAGATTTCTCATTGCACCATAAAGGATGGATATTAAGCAAATCCTCATCGTCAGCAGCGGTATTATTGCATCTACCATTGCAACTGACTTTTTCAGCAATGCCACTTTCAGCAGCAGGTGTCATTGTTGTTTCAAAGCAAGAATTCTTCTCAGAAGATACTATATTGCGGATAAAAGGCTGCCGCTTTATCTCTCCGTCGACAATGGATATCTTGTTCATTTTAGCAAGTGGATTTATCTTCATAGACAAAGTTTCATCTTTTTTTACAGCCTTTTCTATTTCACGTTCATCAGGACAAGTTGCTGGAACGTTGATATCTACGTCAGCCCTAGGTATTTCTCCCGTCTTACCCTGTGGATTTTCTAAGGACAAAATTTTGTCTTCACCAATGTCCTCCCCTTCATGATCACCTATCGAAGAATCTAAGTGATTGGCATTTGCATCAGTCACTGACATCTCACGAACTCTATTGCATGATGGATGCAATTCTTTGGATGACAGTTTACCTTCCTCAGAACCATTTCCCCTTAGGGTATCATTAGGACAAGCACTTGACTTACCACTCACCATCTTACAGCGGCGATACAACTCTCCAGTAAAAGATTTTCCTTTACTGCAGTGTTTTCCCATAGTTACTTCATCTTGGCAAGAGTTGCTTTTAGACATTTGATCAGTTTGTTGCATATTGTAAGCCACAATAAACTGATCAACATTATTTACACCGGAATGCTCTTTCACAAACACCGGACTATTGTTGGGCTGATTTGAACTTTGAGTAATTTCAACCAAAGCATCCACTCCTGGGTTGCTGATGCCGGAGGGCAAACTCTCCATGCAAGGAGCCCTTGCATGGCCATTCAAATGAATAAGTAAATCCTTGGGTGTTTCGATAGAGCCCTTAACATGATTTCCTACATGGCCTAGATAGCGGCGCCTTTCTTCAAATACTTTAGTACAAAATTGGCACCCATATTTTCCATCTTTCATTATTACTCCATCTGACACGGATAATCCAAGTTTACGTCTCCTCTTCTTCTTGCAGTCACTTTTTGCATCTTTTACAATAACTTTATCATCCACATGCTGGCAGTTGGTTTTTCCATCTTTAACAATTACTTTATTGTCCAGATGCTGGCATTCAGTTTTTCCATCTTTTACTACTTTATCTTCCAGATGTATATCGACACTGTATCTCTTTGTTGTCTTTCGGTGAAGCGTGAACATGTGCTGCTTATATTTATCCCTTTCATCAAAACTTACATTACATGAGCGACATTCATATAAGTCACATATCCGAACATCTGGTAGATTCTCGATGCCCAAAAGTAAAGCATCCGTCTCATGTTCAGTAGGTAAACATACACTATGTAGAGGTGAATTTGAAAGGTCCATCATGGAGTTGCCATCCTCAGAGATCATGCACATATGCTGTTGGATAGAAGCATCCTCAATTAATTCTGATAAGCAACATATATATAACATCAAACTTGCAGAAGATTAGAACTTACATTGACTGAATCTACTATTTGAAGTTGCTGAGATTCACCCCTAATGTCCCTCACAAGTTTAGCATCATTTATCCCAAAATAAGATTGTAGATACGATGATACCTCCTTGCAAGATGAAAGTTGTTCTCCTGTTGGACTGCAGTAAGATAATAGTGAAAAATAAAAAACGACAATCTTCTTCTAAATTGGATGAATATCTAACTAATCCAAACTATGTGATGGACAAGATCATTCTATCAATTAAACTTGCTTGAAATGACCATATAAAGCATGCCTGTAGACTTCATGACATTGATGAGAATCAGACAGGGATTCAAGCCGCATTATCAATAACCAGTCCCTTTAAACTCTTATATACACTTTACTCATGATCAAATGAGCACTAATCATTATAATGAGCACAAAATACCCTTGGTTCACCTAGAAACTGAGTGTAAATAACACCACCACCCCCCACCCCCCCCCCCCACCCAACACACACACACACAACCCCAACTTAAAGCTCGTTATGCCACTTTTTACAATTCTTTGATAAATAAAAGTAAACTTTAGAAAACAATGAAAGAGAGTTCACACCAATGCAAAATTTCTAATGCAATCTTCACCTCACCTTGTATTCCAATTAATATATCAACATTAAAAACCAAGAAATTATATAGATTGATAAATGAATTACTCTATATAACAACACTCACTAGCAAAAATGAAGGGATAACTTCTCCCTTCACTCTTAAGGCAACTACCCAAAAAATGTACGGAGTAACATTTTTTTTTAACATAATTCAGCGAATCATAAGCCAATTAATCAAAATTTCATCAAATTTATTTAATTTGCCACAATAGAGCAACAATGATACAGACAAAATTCGACCCCGTAATTGGTACCACCGTACCACCCTTACAAGTACACACACAAATCAGATAATAATTGCATTAAAAAAAAAAAATAGCAGATTAATGTACAATTCATGCATGTCAATTTTCCGCAAAAATTCACTTAAAATCACATAAATTTCTAAACAATTTTACAACCGAATATTCAGGAAATTGGAAATGATAAAAATAAAATAAAATAAAGAGAGAGAACATTACCTGAGGTAACGACGACAATAAGGGAAAAATTGACCACCCTTGCGACGCAAAGCGACGATAATTTTCCAACCAACAGGCAAAGCGTCGCCTAACAAAGAAGCGTCAACCACCCTTCTTTTCTTCCTTCTACTACACCAATCACCTTCAATGGCACCCAAAACCTCCAACAATTCCTCCTGTTTTACTCTTCCTTCCGCCATCTTCCTCAACTCCTCCGCAAATGGACCGCCGTCATTTTCTCTCTCCTCAAGCGCCGCCAAGTCGACGACCACCCCATTTCTATTAACAATCTCAACCGTCGCATTCTCATTCTCCTTCCTCCTCTTGTGGGGCCCACCATCAGGGGCAGAATCGTCAAATTGGAGGCGTTTCTTAAGGCAGGAAACGATCATGTTTGATTCGAAACGTTCCTTGTTGAGGAGAGAGAAACGGTGGCGGCGAGGGTGAGGAGAGAGAGAGTAGGTTTGTTGGTGGGTGCTTTGAGATGGGTTGATGTAGAATTTAGCGGCGGAATTGGAAACGGTGTCGTTTGATGGGGTAGAAGAGGAGAGGAGAGAGAGAGAGTGGAGTTCTGAGTGAGTTAGGGATGACATGTCAATGGGAATAATTGGTGGGATGATGAAATGGTGGTTGCCACCTTTTTCGGTGGTTAACTCCATTGCCGGAGAGAGGAGAGAGAAAGTGTGTATGTTGCGCAGTGTGCAGTCCAGGTGGGAGACGACAGTGGACACCTGGATGTTGATGCTTGAGAAAGGAGCTTTTTATAGTGAGAGAGAAAGATGTGTTGAGTTTAGTGTTGAAAATTGTCAGTTCATTTTCAGCGATATTTCTATGTGTCTGAAATCTGAATTGTAACACCCTCGGTCTCCTCTCTCCCGCACCTCTATCCCGAATTTCCGACTCACTCTGTTATTCTTTTTCTTTAACTTCCGTAATTCCGTATTCCGTTTTACGATAGATTATACTTTCGGGTGTATCTAGATCGTCGGTAGTAAATTTTTTTTTATAGGAAAGATCGCCGGAAATAAACTAATTCACTTTGTTTTTTTTAAATAATTTGTGTTGGGTAAATAAGACATCTGGATGTGTAAGCTGAATCGTCGGTGAAACCAACTCTCTTCTGTTCTTAAGTGTGGATTATATACTTGGGTGTATCTGAATTGCTGTCGGTAATAACTGACTCACGTGTTTTTCTCGAATCTGACATATATTCTGGTGTATCTAAATCACTGGTAATAACTGACTCACTTTGTGTTCTTCTGAACCTGTTACGTAGATATACATTCGGGCGTATCTGAATCACCGGTAATAACCGATTCACTTTGCTTCCCTTATATCCGACATGTGAATTATACAGACATGTGTATCTAAATTGTTAGTATTAGCCAAATGAGTATACCATGATATTTCCAACTTATGACATCCACCCTATACTATTATTACATGTTTTCGACTCTATTCGTTGTAATTGTGCTTAGAGTTTCTTTAGATAACATTTCGATCTTAACCCATTATATTTTATTCATTTTTTTCGATGTTAATTGTATAACGTAAATGTTTTCGAGGCTAAAACAATAGATAAACCAGTATAATTATTTTATAATCATGATCTTTCCAACTTCAGTAGAATTTTATAGCCATAATCTTAACTTATGATATATTGACGGTCCCTTAGATCATCCCATCCCAATATAGTTACCCGTTCTTTAATTGTCTTAATGTTTACCCAAAGTCAAGGTTACTTTGAATATCATCTCAATTCTACTTACAATGTCTCTCTCAAATCCTTTGTATGGGAGAGAAGGCTCTGAGGGCCAACCCAAAAACTCTGGATTGATGTATGTGAATGCGTTGGTAAACGGAAAGGAAACTCGTGCCATGGTGGATACCGGTGCTACCCACAACTTCATTTCAGAAAAGGAGCTACTAGCCATTGTGCACTGCCTAAGAAGATGGAGGCACTACTTGTTGGGGTCAAAGTTTACCGTCCGCACAGACAACACCGCGGCGAGTCACTTTCTCACCCAACCCAAGCTGACAGGAAAACAAGCTCGGTGGCAGGAGGACTTAGCTGAGTTCGACGTGGAGTTCACCTATAGAACGGGATCCAACAATAGAGTTGTCGATGCCCTGAGTAGGCGGGCCGATCTTGCTGCGATGTACAAGTTAGCGCCAATGACTGCAAGCAACATTGCCACATCCATTAGAGATCAAGTTCGTGCTTATCTCCCAGATGATCCGATGACAAAAACCATAACAAAAATGATTGAAGAAGGGAAGACTAGACGCTTTTGGTTGGAAGATGGCCTCATCTTCACCAAAGGTACAAAGCTGTTCATCCCCAAAGCAGGGGGATTGAGGAAAATGTTGTTGAAGGAATGCCATGATACGCTGTGGGCGGGACATCCAGGTTGGCAAAGCAGTCTACTCGCGATGGGGTACTACTGGCCAGGAATGAAGGAAGATGTGATGAGCTACACCAAAACCTGCCTTGTGTGCCAGCTAGACAAGGTTGACAGACAGAAGCCCGGGGGCCTCCTTGAACCTCTTCCTGTACCAACTCTACCGTGGGAGAGTGTGTCGATGGACTTCATTAGTGGCCTCCCGAAGGTTGGCCAGTTCTCTTCTATCATGGTGGTGATAGACAGGTTCTCAAAATACGCAACGTTTGTACCCTTGCAGAAGGCTTGCGGAGCAGAAGAAACGACATCTCTCTTCTTTAAGCATATTGTGAAGTACTGGGGATTGCCAAAGAGCATAGTAAGCGACAGGGATACCAGATTCACGAGCATATTCTGGTCTGAGCTATTCCAAATGATGGGGTCTGACCTCAACATGTCGTCAAGCCACCACCCTCAATCTGATGGGCAGACAGAGATATTCAATGGGCTTCTCGAGGAATACTTACGTCACTTTGTGAGCGCCAACCAAAAAGATTGGGTGAGACTTTTGGACGTCGTACAACTTTGCTTCAACGCTCAAAGGAGTTCTTCTTCCAACAAAAGCCCCTTTGAGTTGGTCATGGGTCAACAACCTCTCCTCCCGCACACAGTGGCTGACTGGGAGGGCGGTAGGAGTGCTCAGGCTCGAGATTTTACAAGAGAGTGGAAGCAAAACACCGACATTGCGAAAGCCTACCTAGAGCGAGCATCGCGCCGGATGAAGAAATGGGCTGATCAAAACAGAAGGCCAGTTGATTTTGCTATTGAGGACATGGTGATGGTGAAGGTCTTACCAGAACAGCTGAAGTTTCTCAGAGGGAGAGATCGTCGCCTCATTCGGAAATATGAAGGCCCCATCCGCATCACTAAACGGATTGGGAAGAACGCATACAAGGTAGAACCGCCTGCGTGGATGAGGATTCACCCCGTCTTCCACGTTAGTCGTCTAAAACCCTACCATCCAGATCCCGACGACAACAACCGCAACGTCAGCTACCGCGCCAACATCGGAACCAGGACAAGAGCCACCCCTACAACAGAAGACTGAAGCTGCTAAGATCTTAGTGTAGATTTTGTAAGTCGACGAGGACGTCGACGACTTAAGTGGGGGAGGATGTTAGAATCCAACCTCTTTGTTATGTATTCTTCTTTATTTTCCTTGTATTTTCCTTATGTAATGTCTCTTTAGTCTTTCTTTTTATTTTTCTAGACCCTAGGGAGAATTATTGTGTTACTGTCATTTCAGCGTTCACTTGTAATTCTCTACTAATGCAATATAAAGCTCTTTAGGGAGCGAATGGTTATTCAATCAAAGCTCTCTACCCCGTTGTTATTGCTTTAGGACTTGTGTGTTGTTTAAGCCTTTATAGATATTGTGCTTGCCTTGTTTTAAAGCATCCCCCACCAAACCAAGAGACCCTAGAGACGTCCTCATTTTCGTCGGTTTCGCTTGTGCCCGCTTCGAAGTATCGACCGTCACAAGCCCCGACTCCGCACTCGTTGTTCTCGTGTACCCTCTTGAGACACCGTAGGTCCGTGTTGTTGTGTGCTCACGAACCTCCTTGCTTTAGGCTTGCGCCCTTGTCGCCAAAAGACGAGAGCGCACCGCACGATCTGGTGTTGAATCACTCGGACCGTGACAGTTTGGTATCAGAGCCAAGTTTGCCGTAGAGATGGCAGAAGAAGGAGATATGCATGAATACACATTCGAGGAAAGACTTGCTTGTCTTGAAGGCAAGTCCGAACAGTGGGCTATGCTTGAAGAAAGGCTGCCCAAACTCGAGGATATTGTAATAAAACAAGCCGACCAAATAGAGAGGCTTGTCGCTACTGTGGATGGGTTAACGGAGCAACTTAACTTCGTGCAAGGCGTCGCTGATAAAGCACAAGATAAATGTGCAACCTTAATGCGTGCTCAGAGAGGGCTCGGGGGAAGTGGAGGTGCCAAGATAAAACCTCCCAAGCCCCGGACCTTCAATGGCACGAGAGATTCAAAAGAAGTCGATAATTTCATTTTCGACATGGAGCAATACTTTCGGGTCTGTCAGTTGGAGAATGAGTTAAAAGTTGATACCGCCACTATGTATTTGGTGGATGATGCAAAGCTGTGGTGGCGCACCAAGTACGCTGACATCCAAGCTAAGAGGACGTCGATGGATACTTGGGAGGATCTGAAGAAAGAGCTGATGGCCCAATTTTATCCCGAGAATACCGAGTTTGTTGCTCGCACCAAGCTCGCTGCTTTGCAGCATAAGGGTTCCATCCGGGAGTATGTCAAAGAGTTTTCAGCGTGCATGTTGGAGATCCACAATATGTCCGAGGAAGATCGCCTATTCAACTTTGTGCGTGGTCTTAAGGAATGGGCCCAAAGAGAAATTAGGCGCCAAAAGATTGATACTTTATCGGGAGCCATTGCTGCAGCCGAAAGGTTGATGGACTACTCCTCAGAGAAAGGACAAGGTTTGAAGAAAGGGAATAGCGGGCCGACACCGAACCCTCCTAGGAACTCCGGACATGGCTCGCAAGTGAGCTCCAACAACTCGAACAATAGATACAATAGGAGTGGGGGAGAAGACTCTCGGAAGAGTGGAGCTTCTTCCTTCTCTAGTAGAGGAAGCACCCCTAGTTCATCTTCGGCAGCCAGGCCATTGACGTGTATCCTTTGCCGAGGACCGCACAAGTGGTTTGAATGTCGACACAAGGGAGAAATTGACAATCTCCAAAAGAAATTGTCCTCCATTTCCTTAGAAAACCCCGAGGGTGAAGAAGCCGATGAGGTAGAACCTAGTGAAGGAGAACATTCCAGACTGGGGGCCATTCGCATGATGTGCACTATGGGAAGAGAAGGCTCTGAGGGCCAACCTAAAAACTCTGGATTGATGTATGTGAATGCGTTGGTAAACGGAAAGGAAACTCGTGCCATGGTGGATACCGGTGCTACCCACAACTTCATTTCAGAAAAGGAGGCAAAAAGACTTGGGTTGAAGCTCCTACCAGAAGGAGGCAGTATGAAAGCGGTGAATTCAGTTGCCAAACCGATCCACGGCGTTGCCAAAAAAGTAACAATGAAGCTGGGAGATTGGAGCGGACATGTGGACTTTACCGTTGCGCCAATGGACGACTTCAGCTTGGTGCTCGGCATGGACTTCTTACACTTTAGTAAGGCAGTCCCGATGGCGCATCTTAGATCTATTCTGGTGCCCGGGCAGCAACCATGTCTCCTCCGAACCTGCGATCCGGGAAAAGAGCCGAAAGGGCCCCTCCTTTCAGCAATGCAATTGGAGAAGGGGTTGAAGAGGAACGAGCCCACGTTCCTAGCAACACTTTCCACGAAGGAAGATGAAGCAAGTGGAGACTTTCCGCCTGCAGTTGCCGAGCTACTATCAGAGTTCCAGGATCTCTTCCCGAAAGACCTACCAAAAGTTCTCCCACCTAGAAGGACAGTGGACCATGAGATTGAGCTGGTTCCAGGGGCGAAACCCCCAGCACGAAGCCCTTATCGCATGGCTCCCCCAGAATTGGCTGAACTCCGGAAACAATTGGAGGACTTGCTTGAGGCAGCCTTCATCTGCCCATCAAAGGCTCCTTATGGGGCTCCTGTGCTTTTTCAGAAAAAACAAGATGGAAGTCTTCGATTGTGTATCGACTACCGAGCATTAAATAAGGTTACGGTGCGCAATCACTACCCTATCCCTTTGGTGGCGGATTTGTTCGATCAGTTAGGGGATGCAGTGTACTTTACAAAGCTAGACTTGAAGTCTGGCTATCACCAAGTTTGTATCGCCGAAGGAGATGAACCAAAAACTGCTTGTGTGACGAGATACGGGGCATACGAATGGCTAGTCATGCCCTTCGGCTTGACGAATGCACCTGCTACGTTCTGTACTCTGATGAACCAAGTATTTCGAGAGTACTTTCCAGATTATACACTCAAGTGTATCTTAAACAATGTTAAAAACCAAATGAGCATAATTTTATGACACCTTGATCTCATAGGTAATGGCAACTACTGCTCATCTTTACCGTGATACCTTTACCGATATAAAAATTGTGAGTTCATGCATGAGTTAAAGTTAGATGGCATTTACAAAATTAGAGTGTTGATGATTTCCATGATTAAGAACTAAAAAGCCTATGAAACATCAAATTTACCGTGTATTGAGCTTTTGCTTGCAGACAAAAAATCTTATATAAGATTAAATACTATGTATATCATGTTTTGATTTTGGATTTATACTTATTGTATTTTAGTCTTTTGCACGTGTAATGAGGATATTATCTATAATTAAGTAGATACTCGTATTTAATTTGCATGCATGCTTACGACAAAATAATGTCAGTATGTTTCATTTAATGTTGCAATCATCTAATTTGGCAAGTCTCTTAAAATAAGTTGCATAAGCTTTGAAGGTTAGAACGAGGATTGAGGAGGGGGACGGAGTTTCATAGTCTAATTAAATAAAACCAAACTATAAACTTGTCTATAACTATTTTCACCACGACAAATTGTATACCAGTTACCTATTCGTTTGGTTGATTCGTGTGCACATGGATTCAAAAACAGTTTTCATGTGTAAACAAATGGATAAATATAAGACCAAGCACTAAAAATCAAAACATAGTGTTTAAGAAAAGTTCAAGTAAATAAAGGGAAATAATTCAATGTGAAAATAAGGTTGGCAAAATAATATTCAAGGAAATTTGTTTTTTCAAAAGTTTCGTAAGTAAAGAAATTCATAAAACCAGTGTGGAATATTGATTCAGCCTTCGTAGCAAGATGATAAACAATATATTGATTAAGTAACTAGAATTTGAATTGACGATTTCAATAATATTTCAAGAAGTTTCTTATCTATACATATGATTGCATGTTTTATTTCATTTAAGTGGATAACTTTAATATGGAGAAAACAATAAGCGGGACATAGATGAACATTAACGACACAAGCTTTATATTTTTTGGATGTTTATGCATGGAACAATTACAATTCTGTTTCTATATTCAATGTTTACCCTAATGACTAATTAAGAAGCGAACGAATGAATTTAATTTTTGATTAACAATGAGTAATGGATTAATAAAAGGGAAGAAAAGGGAAAACAAATAGGGTAAACTTTTAAAATTTATTCTATTATTTAAATTTAACAATTTTTGGAGGAAATACATGAAATTGTATTGACTTTGCGAAGTAAATAAACAATGGACAACAAAGAATTAAAAAATACACTCTTTTTAGGTCGTTCATACATCCTAAATCCAAGTGCATCTCAATTTCTCGTCAATGGTATGTTGCATCTAGTCTATAACTCTATATATAAAGTACTCCTATATCATAACATTTATGATCCTTTTAGTAGACAAGTCTAACTTTTGACACACGAGACAAAGCAACAAGCAAGCCCAATCTAACCTCATGCATGATAAGCTAAAAGTAGAATATTAAAAATAAATAAATATCTATTACATTGATTAACGTATTTTTCTCATGACATTTAAAGTTATACTGTATTATTTTAGTGAATCCATTTAATCTGTACGTAGTACTCTATATTATCTAAGTGAAGGGGGGATGACTTTGGTGGCCACCTAACAATGCAATTGGCTTAAATGGAAAGATGAATAAATGATAATTAAAATTACAACTGGAATGGAAATTAATCATTGACAAATCAGCCATATTTGGCATGGTAAAATTTGTCACTAATCATTCAAATAATTGCCATCAATTTTTGAATTTCAATTAAGGAGATACAATCATTGAATCACAGATGATGGAATTCTAACAATTAGTAGATTTTGTTTAAAAAAAAAACCCAATTAATAAGATTTTATTAAGAGATTACAATCAGATAATTAACTCAACTTTGTGACTGGATGTGAATGATTGTAGGTAATTATGAATATCATCAATTTTTCCCATCCCTATTTTCACAAGTGCATGAATAATACAAGTGTGCATATGCAAATATGCAGTGCGTTGAATTTGAACTAGGATTCACATGTCATCGAAGAAATTTCTTCCGATTCATAAAATACTTGCAATTTATTGTACAATTTTGATATATGTTATTTTTTTTTTAAAAAAAAAATATGAAAAAATGCTAAGCCTTGAACACAAAACACATCGTGTGCTTATATATATATATTACGGAGTATATGCAACTCGGACTAACTGCAAATATCATTATCCATTTTAAAATTACAGAAACAAAATAATTTTCAATTAGCACAATTTCATGATCATAATATTCATATCCATAACTCGAACTAAGGACCTGTGATTTACTGAACTGAGCTAAAGTGAACTGAATTTATTGGAGTAAAATTGCGAACTGAACTTGAATATTTTATGAGTGAAGGAAATTAAAAACTAAACTAAACTAAAATGAATTGAACTAAAAAAAAGCAAAAGAGAACAAACCCTAATTACAAAAATATCATTACCCATTTTTAATAGTATTAAAACAAAATAATTTCCAATTAGCAAAATTTCATGATATAATATTCATATCCATATTACCGCATCATAATTCCTTCAAAAATATTCATATCCATATCATTATGCAAAAATGACCGGCATTAATTCAAAAATTTTCATAACCCCCAAAATTATATTACCGCTAAAAGGATAAAACCGACGCATTAACTGAGAAATACGACTAAGCTAAACGGTTTTCGTCACTTTGCAGTTCAACAGCGACACTTTTCTCCCCAATATCACTTTTAACAAATTCACTACAAATTAAACCATTTTTTACACTAGGAGATAGAAAATTCTGCAGATTTCCCCTTCAATCGCCGAATCGTCGTATCACTTGCTGCAGATTTCCTCAATTGGTAATTTTCTTCTCTCTCTAATTTTCAAATTCTAGGGTTTTTTTTTTTCTTTTTTATTATTATCTTTTTGTTTCCTGCTGATTTTGTTGGTGTATTTTTATGGATTTTGTCTTATAAAAGTTGTTATTAAGGTAAGTGTGTTCATTAAAGGGATTAAAAACTTTTGTGATTACGTTAAGAGATGATACTAGCTAATTATAGACCTGTTTCTGTGTAGTAAATTGTAGGAATTGGGGATTTTGAAAGTTATAAACATGATTTTTATGAGCTTAATTGTTTTAAAAATGTAGGTTGTTACTGATTAGGGTTTATAGTGACTAGTGAAGTGGGAATCAAATTAGCCATTGCGAATTTCGAGTGAATTATGGCATTGTGAGTAATACAGATCATACAGTGATATTCAAGTGTACATTCTAGATCAGGAGGAGTGGTATTTTGTGTATTGCTAGTATTCTGTAGCAAATTTATGGGATTAGCTTTGAACTCGGAAATTTTGTTGAAGTCTGGAAGGTAATATAGGTTGCAATACATTAGTTTTATCATGCAATGGGAATGAAATTAAGGCTGAGCAAGATGTTTTACATACTATATCAGCAGAATATGTGATGAACATGAAAAGGAAACAACTATGCTTCCTTAGTTTGCAAATATAGGGTAAGTTAGACTAGTAAGGTGACAATTAAATCCGATTGAAGGTAGTGCATGTTAGCATTGTCATAGACTTATAGTGTCATGTAGTGGTTTTATAATGAGGCTTGAGAATTTAGCTGGATGTTCTTGTTGGCAATTATCTATTGACATGTGAATTGGCAAAGTTGTGAAATACTGCTAATATGTATAGTAATAGTAGCAATTGCAGCAGCTGCAGGGGTTCGAGGTTTGTACTATTAACAATAGTTTGTGATTGCACTTTGAGTATGGACCACTTATTAATATTTATGCATCAGCAATTATTAGTATCACTTGTCATACAGTGATGATTGACGCTACCTGAAATATCATGCAATCTGCATTCTTACAGTTATATTACTGCTTTGGTATAGGAATTTTCTTATTTGTGGTATTTCCTTTTTTCAATCTATTTTAATAGAGCTGCATTAACATTTGACTGTAATCTTCAGATGATTGTTTCAGCAGAAGCTTAATGTACCTGGTAATATAATGAGTTATCGAAGTAAAAGAACAAGAATTGCGGCTACTCCCAAAGTCAAAGACACAAAGATTCCATCAGTTGAAGATGTTGTTGCACAGGTAGTCCAGGATGTTGCTGCTGCAGAAGCGCAAGACGAGGAGACCCTACGCAGTTGCAACCAGAGGACAGACCAAGCTGCAATGAACCAGCCATCCCAAGCTACGTATACTCAGGAAGATGATGTTAGAGCCAACTTGCTAAAAACATCAACAAGAGAGACCCATGCACCTTCGCCAAGCCAACCATCTTCCACTGACCCATCTTCCCGTTTTAGAGCTGGACGTAGGCGATCCATACGTGCTAAAGATGGTGTTCAGCCAAACCATGGTGATGCTCCAAGAGGAGCTCAAGCTCTCGAGACCCAGCTTAGTTCAAGCTGCAACACATGGATAAACGATCCTTCAATGACTGAGCCCAGACAAGCTACAACTACAGATGATGTCAGGCCTAGCAAGAGAAGTGTTGCTGAAAGACAGTTCCATACACCTCCGCCAAGTCAACCACTTCCTGCCGATTCTCCTAGCCAACTTAGAGCCTCAAAGACGCAGTCATTTTGTGTCCAGGAAGATGATGATGAGCTGTTCCAGCAAGGGTTGTCACAAGGGAGGCACCCAAAACCAGCTAAGTGGAGTGATGATATAGAATTTGATGAAATGGAGGAGATCGAGATGAGGGGTAATACTTTGTTTCCTAGAACTTTTTAATAGATAATTGGCAATTTTGCGTAGCATTTGTGTCGATAGTTTAAATTGCAACCTTTCTCTTTTTTGTTTTGTTCTCCCTAAAGTTTAGTTGCTAAGATTTTCACTGTGCCTATATGTTTTCCTCGTGCCTTAGTTTATTACTTTGTATAATAGATTCAGTATGTGGTTGGTCAGTGATAATACTCTACTAATGTGTTTGGGTGGTGCTTGTGTTTGTGTATCAGAGCTTATAAGGCAGAAAACATGTCATCTTACTAAATAATATTACTCCTTCCTTGTAGGTTTTCCCTCTTCTTTTATGAAAATATAATTAGGCTGTATCTAGTTCCCTTAAACTTTTACTTCATCTTCCCCATAAATGGTCTTGCAGGTATATCATTGAGTATCGCATATCTTATAATGCATGTCTTCCCCGATTGACTCTTTAAACATAATTCTATTAAGTTTTAATGATTTAATCTTTTCAAATACCTGTCTCTCTTACTGTGTTTTCTCAACTTGAATAAACGTAGTGTCATCTTGGAGCTTGAGTCTTGACATTTATATGCTTGGCTCTCATGTTGTATCATAGTCAGTGTACTGTTCTATTATTGTTATAATTTTTTTTTTTATTTTTTTATTTTTTTTATTATTTTATTTATTTATTTATAATAACTTTCTGTTAGTGGATATGATTAGAAAAAAAATTTCACAAAAAACTTCCTTACAAGCTACAACATTTTTTATCTTCCTACAACACAAAAGTTTTGGATCAGTTCTTTTTTATTTAAGGTTATATAGTACTAATCCCTATGATGTCATGCATTTGATGTTATTGCTAAATTTTCGAATGTGCACATGTAATGGACTGATTTCTGTTTCAATATTTGTAACTAAATGGACAGTAATTAGATTGAAGGCTTGATGATTGTTTGAAAGATAAAAGCTTACAAGATGAGTCAATAGCTTGAGGCTGTTACTCTCAAAAGGGTAACTTGAGGCTACCAAGCTCTAAACAAGTCTAAAACTCATCAAAAAGAATACCGTTCCCCCCCCCCCCCCTCTTTTCTTATAGTTCATATATTACAAGCTTACTACAAAAAGTGTTTCTCTCTTGATTGCTATTTGTCTTTTACTGACAAAAGGATCAAGCCATTAGAACTTCAGGTTTTTTTTTGTTGCCTCTTGTTGCTGCTTTACTTTGTGGAACATTAATGACTCTTGTTTTCACTTCCCTACAATGGTGTTCCCTCCCTGGTGGCCTCTGTCTTGCAGCAGCTTATGCCTTCTTGTATATGTTTGGATTGGTGAGTCCATCACAGCACTTCTGTGTGACTTCATGAGCATTGTCAATCATATTTTCTGAAAATGTAATTTTGCAAAGTCTTTTTTTTTTGGTGTAGAAATTCACCAGTCTTTTCCTTTGATTCAGACAAGAAATATAATAATTCCACATCTATGAAAGGATACAATGAAGCATTTTCTTATGGGGACCTCAACAAATCACATGTAAATGATGTAATAGACTAGACTAATGGGTAGGAGTTGTGTGGGCAATGCATAAATGGCTGCTAGAATTTGCTTCAAAAGGAAAGAAGCCAGTGAGTTGAACTGAGAAATTCTATGCATAGAGGAAACCAGTGAGAATGAGCATGGTGAGTATTACTGAGTGCTTTTTTAAGCTTTATTTTACACTTTGGCAGAGAACAAGCCTCTTACAAACCATTTAATGCAAATGTCCATCTTCTTCCTTAAATTGCCTGCCCAAAATTCCAGTCTACTATACTCCCTGATATGATTATTATTAGATCCTTAATAACTAGTACAAAAAAAAAAAAAAAAATAAAACCCTAAAAAGGAAACCTAACTCACTATTGTTCTAGCTGGACAATTGGACTTGTATGTGGTATTCTAATTTTGTTACATGTGTTTGGTTATGTGATTCTATGTGGATATAAATACAGGATATTGCTGTTTGTAAGTATATGCTAGAAGAGTTTTTCACCTTTTTTTAAAAAAATCTTATTTTGCTGAGTTATAAATTAGATTAATTTAAACAGATCTAGAAGGGAGGCGTGGAAAGAAGGGAGGAAGAATTCTTCCTCGGCATGTTTGGTCTCTTCAACCTGGTGTGAGGTTTGTGGTCCCTGTTAATGCATTTGACCAACCAGTGAGGAAGGGGGGTTATGTGCTTGTCAAGTTCCTAGGGGATGTAGCAAGGAATGGTGAACTATGTCCTATTGGTGAAGTGAACTGGCATAAGGTGGATAAAAATTGTAAAGTCAACATTATAAACTTGATTCGGGTAGGCTTGTCATATTAGAATATTACTCTTATCTTTCTGTTCTTTTATAAAGCATCCATATTGATTTTATTATCTCACTGTATTGCCTTTGATTGAGCTGGTGTTTTAGGAAAAGTTCGTGCTTCCTGACCGAGACGAAATTGACAAAAGCATTCTTAAACATGTGGGAAAGAAATGGAGGGCTTATAGACACGAGCTTAAGGTGCAATTTAAAAAACCTGACAGAGCACAAGAACTAGTGGCCAGCATTGTGCCAAAAGGAGTGAATTCTACCCAGTGGTTTAAACTTGTACAATACTGGTTTTCAGAGAAATGTCAGGTACCACTTATATTTCTTTGTCCTCACCTTTGTGTTTTTTTTTTCTTGCTAAGCGCGTATTCATTTTATCTCAGTTATTGTTGAGTGTGGGCTGAATTTTGGTATTCAGTTGGTTAAGGTACCTATAAAGTACTTCTTTCGTCTCTTTTTAGTTGACATGTTTCTTTAGTCACGTTTGTCAATGCACAACTTCAATCGTTAAAATCTTTTATTACCGAGCAGCAAAAATTATAAAAGGTTGATATTTTGAAAATATATCTTGTGACGAATCTTACAAGACCCCTCATGATTATATTTTTCATTACGTATATATCACAAAAACGGTCAAAGAGAGGTGTGTGATTGTGTGAACAGTGCTAAAGTCAAAACGTGTCAACTAAAAAAAACGGAGGTAGTATGTGTTAAGGTCTATTTTATGCATATGGATTGTTACTAGTTTCTTTTTCACAGTTCTTATCTGCCAAGGGAAAGGAAGCACGGGCTCTTCAATCCCATCTTCACACTACAGGTGGCAAAAGCTTTGCCCGGAAGAGGGATGAATTTGTAAGTTTTATACAGTATCTGAAACATGTATAAGGAAGCAACATATTATAATTGTTTAGTTATTCTCGTTTTTAACTTACTGCCTTATTGGTGCATAGGAGAAGACACACGGAAGAGAGCCAGGAGCGTTGGAATGGTTCGCTCAAACTCATCTGAGAAAAGACGGAACATATGTTGAGGACTCTTCCAAAGAATTCTTGGTATGAATCTGCTAATGATTTATAGTGCAGATTTGAACATAAAAATTACTTTCTTGGTTGTAGCAACTGGAGTTGTCAACTTTGGGGGGGGGGGGGTAGTAGAGCATGCTCAGTATGAAGAGGAGCTGCCAAGTGCCAACTGACAAAAGGAAATTTAGTCAGGGGAACTAGGCTTGTCATTAACATTGATTGGGTAGCTATAGTTTTTTTATTTTTTATTTTTTATTTTTTTATTTTTTATTTTTATTTTTTTTATCTTTTTCTCACGCTTTCTTCTTGTTTACATTATCCATATCATAAGATTGGTTCTGCTGTGTTTTCTATATTGACTCTGTTCATGAGTTGTGGTAAGTGTCACTTCTGTTAATTTAGCTCATATTGCCCTATGTTGGGACGTGGGAGGGTGAATTTCAAATTGGCTGCTGGCCAAATTGCATAGAAATTATCCTGTAGAGGTGCAAGGAAGTTGATTAAGGTTTGAGTGATTCGGGTGGCATTAATTATCAAAATCAAACATGAAATGCTGATGCCTATATATATATATATATATATATATATTTTTTTTTTTTTTTGAAATTTTAGGCTCTCCACATCTTCGAAGGCTCATAGCAGTCTTAGATTCATTTTTATGACCTGATACCTTTATCATGATATGATGTTGGAGCATTTGAGTTTGGCTTATCAAGCTGTCTTGATGAAGTCAATGACTGGAAATTGTTTTCTGGGACCAATTAACTAGCGAGACTTTTTTTTTTTTTTTAATAATTGCTTGATATATGAAGGAAATTCTCTTTAAAGCTTTGGATTAAAAAATAGTTTATATTATTATAATTTTTGTAATGAATTGAGGTACTCCCTCCGTCCCTAAATTACATTCCTCCTTTCTATTTTTGGTAAGTTTTTTTTAGTAAATCAACTCTCTTTTTCTGTTTTATATTTAATGCTTTCTCACTCATCCTTACCTAATCTCACTCATAATCCTTGTGCCAAATTACAATGAATATGATTGGTTAAAAATTTTCAATTAGGAGCATGTGATTGGTCCATTTTTTTTTTTTTTTTGCAAAGGATTGATGACATGTCATGAGAAATAACTAATCTATCTTTGTACTTCCCATTGCATTATCTAATTATTGTTATTTGTCTTATTCTTTCCTCCTTAATTCCCGTGTAATTTTCCAAAGAGGAAGGTAATTTAGGGACGGAGGGAGTATAATATTGTTTTTTGCAAAGTAATATGTATTCCAGCGTAAAGGCGTTGGAGAGATTACTACTTGTCTAACGCTTTTAAAGAAATAATTTGTAAAGAGAAATACATTTGTAAGTCTTTATTACCTTTTATAATGATCTATTAATCAATGATGTCATATTGGAATAATGGTTAAAATCTTGCTTTACATTTAATTGGTCACATGTTCAATTCCTATCAACAACAATGTTTACTTTTTAAAGTGAAGGTTTGACATGATTAGAAGCCTTTGTCTAAGAGGAGTGTGCCACGTGGCACATAAACTCTCTTAGGAACACTTTAATATATAATTATAGATTATGATGATTGTAACTAGGCTCACAACATAGAAGTTTAACCAATTTTATACTACCTAGTAAAGAGCTTTCTTTTCTTTCCTTTCTTTCTTTCCTTTTCTTTTTCTTTTTTTAATTTTTTTTAATTTATTTATTTATTTTTATTTTTATTAGTAAATAATTTTGTTGTATTTTACTTTTTTAAAGTGACCAGTGAAATACCTATTCTGGGATTGCTACTCCAACTCCAAGCTTAAATGTACAAGCTTTTATGTAATTATTTTACTGTTTAATAGGATGCTGCTGCAGCGCTGGTTGCTAAACGTGGTTCCACCTCTTCTCCTGCCGAGCGTATTGCCATTGAGAATCAGGTTTTTAATGAGCTCATGTACTCTGATGACGACGAGAGATGCCAGCGACCTATTGGATATGGGTTTGGAGTCAATCGGAATAAGTTGTTTGGGGTTGGTGGAGAGTTGAGAAAAAGAGGATATCTGGCATCGGGTACTTCCACAGAAGTTGGGAGTGGCTCCCGAAATAAGCTATTTGGTATTGGAGCAGAGCCAAAGAGAAATAAGTACTCTACATTAGATACTTCAAAAGAAGTGGAGAGGTTGAACTTTGCGATGGAAGCTATGAGTGAGACCAATGAAGTTATGCAAGCCCGAATTCAGATGCAGTCTCAGCAATTGAAAATGCAATCCCAGCAGTTGCAAATGCAGTCCAAGCAGATGGAAGGATTGCAATTTCAACTTCAACAAGTAACTTCTTTGCTGACCAAGTTTGGAGTGATGCTGAACAATCCACAAAATGATCCTACGCGCAGAGGGGTTTTTCGTCAAGGCCCCAATACCATGAATGCACAGGTATATAGCTTTTAGCTTTATTTTATCTCCATGTTCTTCTTTGATTAATGCATATAAGCAAATCAGGTATTGTCTCTTTCTTGGTTTCTTATGTATTTCTTAACCTATTCTTCTAGTTAGATTTTGTAGATTATAAGTAATTGTTTAAAGGGAAACTCATATCTTTAGAAGTCCTTGTGTTAATGAAAGTTGGTAAAGTTGCATCAACCAAAATGTTTATTTTGTTACTTTCACTTGCAATTTTCTTCTACTGCTAATAGAACCTAGTGTGAATGAGTGGAGCTTAGACTTAGGATTTCTGGGAGGTAAAATCCTAGCAGGCATGGTTGAGAAGGGAAGAGTACTTCATTGATGAGGAATCAGACCCCTCTTTGGCATATGCTTAAAACCCAATCAAATCCTGCTTTGTGCAGGGCCGAAGAGAAATTAGACCACTCCTTGGCTTTGCTTTACAACCCAATTGAATACTGTTTTTGACAGGACTGTAAGATGTTCTCAAACATGTGTAGCTTACCCTAACAAATTAGAACGTTTACAGAGGTTGCTTGACTTGTTTCTGATCTAGTTATTTTGGGATTCTTACATTTCCTTGGAACTGCACTATCATCTTCCTTGGTTACTCCTGAATAAAGTTTAAGAGTTAATGTAAATGTTTGTTGATATTACTCAATCTAAATTTAAAAAGATAAATTGAAATGATAGAGAGCAAGGGAAATCAAAGAGAGATGGTTAAGTAGCTACTGGTTTTCCTAAGCTGTTCAGAATGCAGATGAGCTGAATGGATAATATAAAGAGAGCTGGAGGTATTAAATTTCTGATAGTGTACACTAGGCTATTTTCTGTTTTATTAAAAAAAAAAAAAAAACATTGAGTGTATCTAGCTCTAGGAACACCCAGGTTTATAATGGATTTTGCACGAATTCTCATCTTTCCCTTGACTATCTACAACATTAGGGCCTAAGTTGATAGACTTGATACATGTTCCATGTGCCTTTGGTTTGCATGGACTTAAAGCTTACTTGTATTGAAATGTTCACTTTATGCAGTAAATAATTCTGTTAGTCCTATACTCTCCTTTTTATGCTGTAAACCTGTAAATTACCTTCGGAGTTTGGAATAGGACCCCTTTGAAATTACACTTCTAAAATTTAACCAATGGTATTCTGCTGAAGTGAGCTACAAGGATTATGTTCACAAGTAGGAAGTATGCTGACATTTTTTTATACCTTGAAATGTCCCTGTTGATCCTTACAACAATGTTGTCATGTTTTCTTTTGTAGTAGATAGTGATGGTCACAGTTATGTATGATGCATCTTCTGTCTATCCTAACTTGAGTGGGTTAATATACTGGTTGACTCATTTTGGTATCCTTGGTGATTAATAGGTAGGGAACTAGGGACAGTTATCAGGTGGTTGGATGCGAATACCCCCTTTCCCATACCTATATCCACCACCTACTCACTAACCCATGAGGGGTACAGTTTCGTCACCCATACCCACCACCAATGACCAGTACAGATTCATCACCCACCATACCCACCACCCATGACAGGTACAGATTCATCATCCATACCCACTCCACTGCTTAATTGGACATCCACTGCCCAATTAATCTCCCCCCCCCCCCCCCCAAAAAAAAAAAAGTGGATAATCACCTATTATCCATCCACTAAATGAAATTAAGGCCGTGGGGTTGCTGGTTTTATCCTGGATAAAATTGCAATTAAAAAAAAAGAAAAAAAAGAAGTATTTATCTAACATTAAACTTGATACATGATAATATAATTGTTTTAAAATGTATGGGTAGGGCAGGTGGATGTTGGGTGGGCAAGATTTAAATCCCACCACTTACTACCCATGGCGGCTACGAGTGTATTACTTTTAACATGCATGCCTACACTACCAACCATTCATACTCTCATACCTATACACCCATACTTGCCCCAACTAGGGTGTGTGGAATCCACTTACTGCAACACACTAACTCAATGTAACAGTTTTAAGGAAAAATAAAGCAATAAAGAAGCAATTTTTTAGAGAAGGAAGCAGTTGATTGATTAATGAAAGCTAAAAATGGAGTCTTGGATCTGAGTGACTTCAGGCCACCACTCTCTAGGGAGCACCTTTAGGGTACAAATCTCCTTAACCTAGGAATTACAAAATGACTGCCTACCCAACACACTCCCCCTTCCCCTTTCTTATATTTACACAACAAGCCAAGAACAGAAAGGACAAAAAGGCAGCTGTCACTGATTGTTAGGAAAATTCCCCTGCTCCTGCTGTGCTTGAGGTATTTGGTGTGCTTGTGTCAGTCCCCTCCTTCCCCTACGCTTGTAAGTGATCCATTCCTTGTGCTTGCTCTTCCCAGCATACCCAGCATTCGTTACACTTAATCAATCATACCCACATACCATCCCTAGTTACTACTAGGTGTCCCTCCAGGCCTAGATATTAGTTAAAAGTGGGTGTTATTTACGCCTATAGTTTATTTTCATTCCTCGTTATGTCCCAGTGTCGATGAAATTTCTTTAATACCAGTTCAGTCATATAATTAATTGTTTCATGCGTGTTTTACTTCTACATAATTCAAGAAATCTATTACTAGTATATATGTAGTCTTCATATAAACAATTATCCCATCGATTTCAACCAATGTGTCAGCTGTTTTCCAGTGGGTATAACGATGCTGTAATGTGCGGTAAAGGTGTTTTTAGTTGACAGTTTGAAGGAAGCCTTTCATGCTTCCTGTTTGAAAGAATTATGATATTATTTTGAATGTCGAAATGAGTTTTCTTGTCCATCTGTGGGCTATGATTCCCCCCCCCCCCCTCTTTTTTTATTTTTTATTATTATTTACATTCTGCTGTTTTGGGCAGTGTCGGTTGTCTTCTAAGTGAATCTAATGAAGCATGACAAATATGCTAGTCTTGTTTGTGCTTGTAATGATTTCGGATGCCCTGTGTAGCTGTTTGTAATTTTTTGGTAGCTCAATACATGCAGACAAATTCAGTTCACTGATTTTTGTAGACACCTCAAAAATTAAAGTTTTTGTTTGCTTTGAGAGCGTATATGTATTCTGTTCTCCAATATTCAACTGTTTCATGTTAACATCATATATCACTGATTTGATTTGTTTGAATGGATTGGGTCATTCTCCCTATTTGTTTTTATGTTTGTTTTTCTGAATTTCTATAGTACCTATTTTCTCACATGTGGAGCCATCTTTAATCTCCGCTATGAAAATAAGAAACAGAGTATATGGTGTTGCATACTATGATAATCAAATAGTGGACTGAGTCAATGTTTCTCAATCTGTTTCGAAGGTTTCCGAAGCTTCATCTGAAGATACTGACAGTGACTCTGACAGTATAGAGTGGGACTGAGATCAGCGAGGTAGACATCTGCTGCTCTAGGCATAGTTTCATATACAAGTATGTTGCTTCTACCTTGTATCTCCTTATTGTGACATTAACTGATGTGTATTTCCTTATTGTACTATGGGTCATACATTCATATTGTGTAACTATTCTGTTTATCTTTTCCTGTCCGCTCTCTCAAACAAAACCCTAAAAAGTGTTGTAATTTATTAGTGATTATTCAGGAAGTAAAGGAAGCTGAATCAATCTTGTGACTAATGTAAGTAGTCATTTTAGAAGCTTAATTTTGGAACTTATATGTAGTAGAATAAATTCTTAACAAGAGGGGAAGCTATTAAGAGGAAAAATATTTTGGGTACATTTTAAGTTGACTGACAATGGAACTTATATTTTTTTTTACGTGTATCACTTTGACTGATGTTATTATATTATTCACATAACTTTTACTAGTTTTGATGATTTTTATCTTAAGAAAAATATGTTTTAATGTATGATCTTGTTAAATTCATCACAACATATACTTTTAAAATATCAACTTATTGTAATTTTCACTTATTGATAAGTAAAATAATTGATAAAAATACATCGACAATCGCGAAAGAAAAATAATGCAAAGTAATATGGCACCACCTATCTATTAGTGATTGGAGAGTCACAACTAACAAGAGAATCAAGAAACCTCTTTAGGGGACCTTAAAGGCTTTCTTGGGTTTTAAGTAGGCTAACAATGATTTTCCTTTCCCGCAAGGTTTCTCACTAACTTATTAAAATTATTGTAAGATGAACCTCCAGGTTTTGTAGCTTCGTCCGTTTTCTTCTTCCATTCCATGGCTTTTCCCTTCAATTCCTTCCCTTTCTCACCTTCCATCATATCTCTCACTAGTCCTTCAACTCCTTCTCTCTGAACACTGCCTTCTTCCATCTCCACCCCAACTCTCCATTCCTGCCCTGCATATAGGCTATTCATTTGTTGCTCACCGATAAACGGCCAGCATATCATGGGCACCCCTTCGCCTATGCTCTCCAAGGTAGAATTCCACCCACAATGAGTCAAAAACACAGCAATAGAAGGATGTTGAAGCACCTTCTCTTGCAGGCACCAGCTCGATATCAGCCCTCTATCTTTGATCTCCTCCCTGTAACAGTCTTCAGTTATGATGTTCGATTCTCCTATAACAAGGTCAGATCGAATAATCCATAAGAAAGGGTGCTTACTGTTTGCTAATCCCCATGCAAACTCCTTTAATTGCTCCGGAGTTAATACAGCTATGCTCCCAAAATTAACATAAATGACTGATTTTGGACTCCTTTTGTCCAACCATTCTAAGCAATTATCGTCTTCCTTCCATAAACTCCCACTAAGAGGGAGTAGCTCTTGTTCATTCGCCTGTTGGGTGAGCTTTGGGAGAGGGCCAATGGTGTAAATATTCGTTATCACCTTCCCGATTTCTTTCAAAACTTCGCTTTCTAAATCGTCAAATGTATTGAGAATTAAGCCTGCGGCAACTTTTGCATTTCTCGCTGACTCTGCCAAGTAGTTGAAGATTATTTCATTTGGATCTGTCGTTCGAAGAAATGTAGGAAGGTGCTTCATTCTAGCCTCTTTGATGAGTCCCGGAACCCACTCAATCGATGTGTCAAGATACCCATTTGTAAGGTAACTTTCATCTGCCAAAAATACATTGAGGAGAAGGATTAGATTTGGAGGCAATCGATAATACCTCCTTATGACTTTTTGAGTTTTGCGATTACCAACCTAAAACTTTGACTATTAATGTCTTTAATTTGTTTTTTAATAAAAAAAAAAATTTAAAAAAAATTGAAGCAAATAAAGACAAATCTAATAAGATCTTATATGGTTAATTGGTTATAATCTCATTATGATGTATTAATCACAAATGATAGTAGTAAAAGGAAAAAAAAAAGTGAATAAAGAAAAAGTCCAAGTTATGCAATTAAAAAAAATCAGAGGAAGTACTTATTAAGAAAATATTAAAATACATGGTTTGTCAAAAAAAAAAAAAAAAAAAAAAAAATTTTTTTTAAAAAAAAAAATTTAACATATACTTTTGCTTATTCTTAATGGATTTGGAAATGTAGTAACAATATACTTTCTTCTTTTTCTTTTTATACTCAATTCTCTTGATGGTGATAAGCTAGATTATTGATCAACCTCTACCTAGCTAATCACATATCCTTTAATATAATAATCAAGCCTTAAATTTATTTGCCTAGGAGATAGTGTTGACTTTTTAGTTGCATAAAAGAATAAACAGAACTACCAAAATATTTGTGAAAGTGATGTTGGTGTGCGAGAAATACCAATAATATAATACTTTTTTCGTTTTTAAATACTTGCTCCATTTCTATTTTTTGTATTATTTATTTGTCTACTTTGACTAATGTTTGTGATTTATACATAAGAAAAAATATAGTCTTTTGGGTACTTGTTGGAATCATTTCAATAAATAGATTATTAATTTTTAATTGTTAGAATTTATAATTATTAATAATTAAAGATATAAGTGATAAAATATTAGCATCGGCATGCGTGTCTAAGAGAAATGGAGCAAGTATTTAAAAATGGAGGGAGTAGCATTCTATACCAATTAAGGAAGTGTTGCACCAATCATTATAAAACGGATGTAAGAGAAATGTACTACAATATGACAATATACTACGTGTGAGTATATGAAATGGAATAAGTAACGTGAGTGTCTTGTTAATGTGTACTTTAAGTCCTACAATATGTCAATATACTACATATGAATGTCTTGTTAATTAATGTAACAAATCATATAACATAACTGTTAAAAATAAAATAAAATCATATAACATAAAAAATGAGCACATAATGTTCTCTGTCTCCTTTTGAAAATAATTGTCAAATCTATGACTAATTTAGGAAATTTTACATTATCCACCTTTTATAACCATATTTTTGTAGAAAACCACCTCATAATTTTTTTTTTTCCTTAAAAACACACTTTAATCTATTTTTTTTTGCAAGGCCACCTTTGGCCGGAAAACAGACTTTGACTCCGAGGTTAACTCGACCATGTGCCTCGCATGTGACACCCTTAAACCACTAACCAATTTTCAGGCGGCCAATTACTTTCCACAGCCAACCAAAAACCCATCCAACCAATTTTCCCCACCCACTGCCAACCCCTACCCCGGCGTCGGTGATCCTGCTCCCTTCCCTTTCCCTTAACCCACAAATGCTCTCTCCTCCTCTTCCACCTAACCATCATCACTTCCTTCACTCTCACCACCCGAACCCCGAGATCCACCACCACCCACTTTCCTAAAGCGCCGCCCACTAATTCTCTCTCCTCCTCTTCCACCTATAGCGTCGTCGTTCGATTTATTGACTCAGACCTAAACTCCGTCGTTTGTCAACCACCTTGGATATTGCGCTTTAGAAGGTATAAGAATGGGTTTGAGAGTTGGGTTTAGGGCTTGATTGTTGGGTTTAAGGACAGGAACGGGGAAAGGGAGGGGATACGGCCACCGACGACGAAGGAGGGAGGTGGTCGCCGGACACTGGAAGGGGGTGGGGGCTGGCATTGTGTGACTAGGGGAAAAGGGAGGGTTAGTGGTTTTAGGGTGTCACGAGGGAGGCGCAATATTTGAAAATTTTCAATTATTAAAGTACGAGTATTATTTTTTTATAATTATTTGAAAGAAAAATATTTAGTCTTCTTTAAGTCCGTTAGATGCTTACATTTTAGAATTTGGAAACATTTTAGAATTTGGAAAATATGATGTGACAATAATTTTTATAAGAAAAAAAAAAAGTAAAATTAAGTCTTCTTTTCCATCCAATTTAAAGTAAGATTACTCTCTCTTTAACTAGACTAAATCAAAATACACTTTGTATTTTATCAAATATATATGTGTAAAGCAACTTTTATAATATATCCGCCTTAATTTAGTTGTCACAATAGTATTTCAAATTGCACCTATAGTGCAAGCATGCGACTAAATTTAGATTCCCACATAATAAATATTACTTCATTCTGGAGAAGAAAGTTTCTACAATTACCTTTTAGAGGGAAGTCACCTCTTTTGACAAGTTCATCATATTGCATATACCCAAGCATACCACAAGCACTAGTAGTAAAGAAATGCAACAAAGGGATCCCCAATTCTATGCAAACTTCAGGTACAAAGTTCATCATAGAATCCGAAATCACGCTAGTGATAGGAGGAGTATCAGGAGATTCAAGAAGCCTCATTAGGAGACTTCTAATGGCCATCTTCGGCTCCCCTTGAACAGCTTGAAAGGAATAACATACCTCATGGAGGTTGAATACGCTACGCTTATTATCTGGTGGTAAGCCATCCGGAATAACTTCAATGCTGAAATCATTGAAGCCCTCAAGAAAGTGTGATTCCGTGCTGGAGGAAGAAGCTAGTCTAGCCACATTGAACTCAGTAAGCACCATTGTGATGTAAATGCCTCTCGAATGAAGGAGATTCGCTAGTTTGAACATGGGGTTTATGTGGCCTTGGAATGGAACAGGTACACAAACAACATGAGGTTTATTGGTTGCCATTAGACTCACTCACACTTCTATCTTAGAAGGGAAAATTATAGTTTTGTTGTAAAATGTGGTAATTGGTGAAGTGCAAGTTTATGTTCATATTTTATAAGTACGATTGTATTTATGTAAGGGCAGTTTGTTGAAGTTGTTTGTTGAGATAGTATCCGCATTGATAAAGCAATTTATGTCAGAAATACACCACGTGTTATTAAATATATGAGTAGGTATCTCAACTTAAATACTACCTCCGTTACAGGTTATGTGCAGTAATTTGACATAAAGCAGAAAAGGAAAATGTCTAATAGTTGCAGATAAACTGTAACGGAGGTAGTATATGAGAAAATATCTCAAATGTTATTCCATTTATTTCAGAATAATCGTAACAATTTAGTTGATACGTTAGTCAATCTACAATTTTGATTAATAAAATTTACTCTTAATAAAACCTACGGAGTAAAAAGTTAAAATTATGAAATTTAAGTTATGATAATAGGTAACTCCATATTACAATTTATTTCACAACAAAGCTGAGAGTATACTTTAAAATTTACTCCTTCCGTTGTCAATAATTTATTTCGCTACATGTCCATTTTCTGCTTTTAGAAATCAAATCATGGATAAAATTTTTGGACCCTTGAGTATGACAAATTAGGATAGTCCATACACAGAGTATGGTATATAACTTCTCCTAATTGGTGGAAGCTGAATGTATGGTATCCTACGCTTGATATTTATGCTATAAATGAACAACCAGAAAAAAATTGTGGCTAGCTATTGTTGCTCGGCTGGATCTTGCTGACAAAAGGATAAGGAAATCCAAATTTCTTTATCACGCTGATTCCCTAGTCATTATGC